AAATCAGTTTTCCAGTAGTTGTACTATGTCTCCAGTGCATGGGAACGCTGCAACAGCATTAGGTCGATCGAGCACTATAGCTGCCCGCGTGAGCCATCGTCGCTTCGTTAGGTACTAACTAATCATCTACACAGAGATGGCCGGATGTAGATCAAGACACCACCACGGGGATTCGATAGTCTATCACTGCGGAAGCACAAGTAGCCACTAGGCTCAGTTTCCTGGGCGGGTACCTCAGCATTCAATTACGTCTGTGCGAGCCCCACTACTTCTGGTCTCTCGGAAACAACAAAGCGTCTCAGCTTATCGCGCTCTTTTGTAAGACTGCAGACGTTGGTGAAGGCTACACTCAGGTCGCTGTAGGAACTAGCGGGCGTGTCTGAATAGTAAGCGATCGATTTTCCGAGTTCACGTTGTTTTCATGCACCCAGAAATTTACAATAGATAGATTCGTTTCTCCCTTACCGCCTTAGCTCTATCCTATCTCTCCTGAGTCGCTCTCTATTATCTAAATCCATATGAGAGTGAATATGCGCTCTCACGCCTCTCAGCCTATTCAACTGAGACAGCAATAGTTACGCGCTGGCCTAGTCTGCCGGTCTTTCTCAGCAGTGATTCTGTCGAGGATCCTATCAGCTATACACTAAAAACGCAGCAGTGCGATCAAACTGTGCCTGTGATTGATGTGCGATTGATGTGTGTTGTGTGTCCGAAACTCGGATTAATAATCCTAACGGGGTTGCTGAATTGACTGCACCCGGCTTATCCTCTCGTTATTGGTTGCACGCATCCGGAGACGCCGATGCAGCACTCACGGGTCAAGCTGGTGTAGGTATCATTCAAGCCCCAAAGCTGAGCCGTCGTTGGTTGATTGGATTCCGGTGAACAGCCGTTTATATGCAGTCCGTTTGACGACATCAGATAAGGTGGATTCACGGAGTAGTAAAAAACGTTGTTTCTTTGTGATTTCCGTTTATGCTCCCACTGACTGCAGTTATAATGTTGTCAAGGACACATTCTATCACGAACTGAACGCGCTACTACGCAGTGCTACTAGTTCAGATATTATAGTACTTGCAGGGGATATGAACGCACAAGTAGGGCGTCTGAGCTCTTCAGAAGCTCAGCTGGGTGGTAATTGTGGGCTTAACTCGGAACGGACTGACAACGGTGAGCGTCTGCTGCAACTGTGTGCGGAGCACCAGTTGTTTCTTAGTAGCACTGCTTTTAGACACAGTGGGCGCCGAAGTGCCACTTGGCGTCCTCCTGTAGTTGGCCAACGATGTACCCAAATTGACCGCATGACCATAAGTTGCAGATGGCGTGGTTTCATCCTGGATTGACGCTCGTACAGGAATACCTGTGTCGACTCTGATTATGCCTTGGTATCCTGTCATTTTTCCATGAACTTTACCGGGAGGCGCACCAAGCGTCTCCCGCAATTGGCACCTGACTACTTGTCTAAGCCCTTGGTCAGGCAAGCCTATCAAGACGCGCTGTGTACCGAACTCTCGATTTGTTGTCCTAATGACACTGAGCTTCAGTGGAATAGGATATCGGCCGTCATGCACGACGCAGGAGCATCTGCATGTAGGACTATCCATCGTCACCGCACCAGTCATTGGATAACCGAGAGCTCGGAGAACCTGTTGGAATCTGGAAGACACCTCCCGACTGGCTCTGAACACAATGTGACCTGACGGGCTATTAGGCGTGAACTAAAGCAGAGCCTACGTGCTGACAAGCAAGGCTGGTGGACCAGTCAGGCTCAAGAAATGGAGGAGGAAGCGGCAGTAGGAAATTACCGCAAGCTCTTCCAGCTAATCCGCACCACTGGTCCCAAAAGACCAGGCGTCAGTGAGACAATCAGAGACAGCACGGGTGCATTCATACACAATAAGGAGCGCCGTATGGCACGTTGGGCGGAACACTTTCAAGATCACTTCAGCTGGCCCCCTGCTCCCGAACCTCTTCCTACTCAGGTGATGCAGGACGAGCCATGGACGGTTAGTTTAGAGCCTCCGTCAGAGGCTGAGGTCTGAAACGCGATCACAGCCCTCAATCATTTTCGTGCCGCTGGCCCGGATTCCCTCCCACCTGCACTATTTAAAGATGGAGGTGAGATCCTCTGCAAAGCACTGACCTCCTTATTCGAGTGTACCTGGAAGGAAGTGTCCCGGCTAATTGGAGCGAATTGATTATAGTGGCAATATACAAGAACGACAGTCACACCGACTGTTCTAACCACAGGGGTATCAGCCTAACGCCAGTTGTGACAACATCATTGGCCTCGATTATCGTTCCTCGCTTCACTGTGGAACGGGAATCTCGGATTAGGGAAGAGCAAGACGGTTTCCGCCCAGGACTTGGCTGTATAGACCATATATTCACTTTGCGGCAGTTGCTAGAGCAGCGCCATGCACACCGCAGACCGACAATAGCTGTTCCTCGATTTCAAGGATGCGTTTGATTCAGTCGATCGATCGATTCTGTTCGAAATACTTGCGCGGAAAGGTGTTCCCACGAAATATGTGAACATCCTTCGTGCTCTAGACTCGAACACTGCAGGCCGCGTCAGGGTCTACGGTGGACTATCGGATAGCTTTCCGACCACAAGTGGCGTTCGTCAGGGTTGTCCGATTTCCCCATTTTTGTTCAATTTTGTCGTGGATTCTATCATGGAGTGTTCCCTTGCGGAATCTCACGATGTAGGCGTTGAAGTGCTGCCTGGTGAAAGGTTAGTTGATCTAGATTATGCGGACGATATCGTCTTGCTTCTCGATAATGTTGCGACGGCACAATCAACCCTGAATAGCCTGTCGAGTGGTCCCATTATTTGATATGCACTTCGCACCTTCAAAGTGCAAAGTGTTGCTGCAGGACCAGCAGCCAATTGATGACCCCTTGACGCTTGCTAACGAGGAACTCGAGGTGGCTGATCGTTTCGTTTATCTTGGCAGCTGCATCAGCAATGATGGGCGCGTAGGAACTGACGTCAGCTCACGTATTGCAATAGCCGGAGCTACCTTCTTGAACCTGCGACATCTTTGGCGATAGAAGGGAGCTTCCCTCCGTCTGGAAGGCCGTGTATACAAGGCCGCAGTGAGAGCCGTTCTGCTCTATGGTAGTGAGAGTTATCCCCTTCGGTCTGGAGATCTGAGGCGCCTTCAAGTCTTCTATCATCGTTGTCTGCGAAGCATTGCTGGTGTCGGATGGTACCAGCGTGACCGCAACGATGACCTGCGTAGTCGAGTGCTATGTGGTGATAATCATGCTAGCTCCCTAGAACAACAGATAGCGGTGAAGAAGTTGCGTTGGCTTGGGCACGTGCTACGTATGCCTGGTCACCGCTTACCTAAAAGGGCCTTGTTCAGTCTGCCAGGTGTAGGGTGGCGCAAGGCTCGAGGTGGACAGAAGTTGACTTGGCAGCGGGGAATGAAGTCACTGACTACTAAACTGGGTGCCGTTGGTCCGTCTCGTCTTGCGGGCTGGAGTCCACATGACTCGCCTTGTGCTTGGCTCGAGACTTTACAGGACATGGCTCGCAGTTGGCACCAGTGGCGCGTCTCTTACCGTCTTCTAATCGGATTGTCTGTTTAAAGTGTGTTTGGTGCTGAGTTACCTGTGGGATAATAGCTGATTATGACGCGTGGCAGGGAAAGCCGCAAGGAAGCTGTCTCGCCGATGCCGCCTTATCTTTGCACGATAGCCAGCTGTTTGTGCCGTTATGTCGTTAACGCATGGTGTATGCTCCATTGACCCTGAATATTTTCTTAGGGCATTAGGGTTTTCAGGTAAGTCTCCCTTCTCTCTCTGTTCTTATTCTTTATTTCATAGGTCCTCATGGTTGTATGGCAGTAAGCATCAGTTCAAATGGCTGATGTACTCCTGTTTATGGTGATAGTAATGATGATGATGATGACTGAGCCATACCTTTTGTATTATGATCAAAGATATGCGGGCTCAGAAGTGTATCTGAATGAGGAATAATTCAGTGCTTCGATGAATCCACGAAGAAAGAATCTTAACAACCTGACCACGGACGCAGCTAGTCACAGGTTCAATAAAGTTCCGTTGAAGTTTTATGGTCCGTGCACCGATGTGCGTTTTATCCAGTTGCCACTGCTCACATAGCAAGAATAACAATAAATAACAACTGTTGGATCGTGGCATTGGATGCAAATATAATGTAGATGGAATGGAAGCAAGAAGGAAATGTGTTAAGCTAGTCAGAATGGGACGAATATTAGCAACCAGATGCAAGAAATGGAAGGCAAGAACACGACTGATTTCGTGGCTGCGCTAGCTTTGACGCTTTCTCCAACCACTGGTGTGGATCATCCCGAGGCCCCTATCCACGCAGCAGTTTATCCAGTAGTGTTTGTATAGCCACTGTGTCAGACTCAATAAGAGCTATGTGGTCCACTTACCTCAGGTTTGTCAGTCGGTCGCCTGGCATTACTTACATTCCGGTAAAGTCTAAAAGGACCTGTTGGTTCATGATCATTTCTATTAGAAAGTTGAAGAGAAAAGGATATATATAGGACAACCCTGGCGAACCCCACTTCTAGTGGGGAACTCAGGAGACAATTTCCTGTAGACCCTTACACGGGCTCGGGATTCGCGGTAGAGAGACTGTAAAATGAAAAGAAATTGAGCCGTCGCGCCCTTCATGGAGAGGCAGAGCCACAAGTTGGCGTCGTCAACAGGGTCGAAGGCGGCTTTCAAGTCAAGGAAAACCACCATAGTTTATCGTCTGTATGTGTGTCACTGCTCTGATAGTGGTTGATGCAACCACATTGAAGGCGGATGTCAGTCTGGCTTTCACTGATTCTGTTCTCACGAGGGGCCAGTATTTCATCTCGTAATTCTAATCGCATGCAATGAAAGCTTGTGATGTCTTCCACAAATGCTTCATCTGATTAGGGTGCGGCGGTTGGTGCACTATGCATGGCTATCATTTTGTCATCATCTCAATCCGAATATACTTTTTATTTTAGGGCTTGCTCGTCGGACGCGCGCGAAATTTCTGTTTGCCTCAACATCGGAAGTTTATGGTGGTAAGCTCTTTTCGCTTTTTTTTCTCTTACCAACACAGGTAGTCCGACAGTTATGTCCTACACTCACCATCCTGAGTGTTTCGCTTCCTTGCAATTGCAGCGCTTGTAAGCTTTTTTAGAACTTGCTGTCACGCGGTAATCACTTTTTTCCGCACACTTATCTTGAACTCCGTAACCTACAGATCTGCTCCATTACTGCAACTGGCATATGTTGGCATGCATTTTTGGTTTAGGTAGGTCCAGTGGACCTGATCCTCACCATTCTGATACCCACATCTGGTTTATATGAAGTTGATTTCGGTGGATTCAGGTGTTTTAACCTCCGTCACTTCACCAGTGAGTATTATCAGAAGTGGAAAAAAATCAAACCGAGAAATTGTTGAGTCGCTGGATTCATTCGTTAGAATTGTAGTCATGAGTAGACAATAAACCTACGGCAAAACGCCATTTTCTTCTCATTCGCCTTAAATGGTTCGTAAGTATTCAGGTGATTGATTATTCGGCCACCATTCACTTAATCGTCACATACGAATTTAGCTTATTTTCTCTTATTTTCCATACCTCTGTACATCGGCGGATTGTTTCTCTTGGTCTTCTCTCTCATCACCAAAATATAGTCAGCATACAAGGTAATCACTGTGTGCGGAAAACGCAACACTACCATCGTTCACTTTACGTCTCTTGGGAGAATATGGTGTTAAAATTTGTTGGCAGACGTCTCGATTATTTCGATCGCACACAGTTACCATGTCTGTCGTTCACGCAAAGATGAGGACTCAGAAATTAACTGATTAGCTGCTGTCTCTCCTATTAGCACTTGATAGTGGATAGTGAGCGGCGCTATATCACATCTAGTAACTTATTCACGATGGTCGTTGCCGTCCCCCGTAGCTCAGTTGTCTCAACCATGGACTAGCAACAGTCGAGTTGCGGGTTTGAACCCTACCAGGGTCCGATGGAATGCACACCGCTGAAGATTCCCGAAAGGATGAAACGCGCGTTCAGTGCTTTTCCGGGCTGTCTGAGTCTAGATGTGGCGATTTTCTACCTATACCATACATCTCTACTACTCCTCTGTAATTATTATGATTATTATTTTGAAATCTAGCCCTAAATTTACTACAAGACGGGTTCAACGTTGGTGCTTGTTTTAAGTTTGGGGGGTTTCTAGTCACTGTTCATCTTGATAGGTGGGAGATCACAATGAGACGCGGAAGCACTGCCTGCAGTTGTCTATAGATTCACATTCATTCTGCACTTCCTACTAGTGGTTGTGTAGAGGTACAAGATATTTCTTCACGTTTGGGTTTATCCTCATCGCGACGTTGTTTACCCTTCCTTTGACGTCGTAACTTCTAATACACGTTATGCTGTTCAGGTATAGTACTGTTCCTCTTTGATACGTCATAATTGCTTTAACCTCTTTCACTTCCAGATCCGGAGATACACCCTCAGCCTGAAAGCTATTGGGGAAATGTGAACCCAATCGGCCCTCGAGCTTGTTATGATGAAAGCAAACGTCTCGGTGAGACGTTAACATTCGCATATTCAGATCGTGTAAGCTATTGCTGGTTTACCTATTGCTTATTTTCATGCCTCATCTTTCGATTTCCGACCAGTTTTCCTAACGCTCTTATTTAAGTTCTTTTGATCTGATCTGTCCAAACGTTTTTCACGTCTTCCTATTCAACCGAAGCTCATCACTACTTCATGATGCTCGGTAGTTTGACTATCCTTTTCGCCACCGAAATTGACAGTAATTTGATAGAGGTGACCTTGATCTTTCACTTCTTATGTCAAACAGTTAAGTGCTACTGATCGACAAACTAGTGCCCACAATGACCGGCTGGAAAGGAGCATCAAATATAGATTGATTATAGAGAACGTTGCGTTGTCCGAATACCGCGTACTACTTCGACTCATTTGACTGTACAGCTGTGTGCCCTCGGTGTTATAAAAGATTGGTCAGTGGTTGGAGGCCAGAAGAATTCCGTTTGTCTGCCTTCCATGTTAATGTATGAACTGGAGGGGCATTCACTTCTGTTAAACGGGACCGTTACCTACTGTCCGCTGTTTTTCATCATGATTTTGTAACGAACGCTTTTGTTGAAGTTCCTTGTGGTTCTTCTTGTTTGGTTTAGGTGACCTGGCGGTATCTTAGCCCTTGTGAATTCCTGGCTATATCCAACTAAGAAAATCAAAGGCGCAGGTTGTGATATGATGTTGTTTCATGCATGCTTATTAGTCACTGAACGTCCAACCATCGATAGGCACAAGAAGAAGGAGGTTACGTAAGATCGACTGGTGCTCAAGTGGTGGCCGATTGGTGCGCTTTGCGCCACAATGGAAGATTCTCTATCGATATTAGCTGCTTTTATAGACAGAGCCGCGGTCGCTGATTATCGCTAACCATGCTGTCAAGAATATTACGTATGAAGCCTTTGATTTCTCACTAGGACTATAAAGATTGGTCTGAGTAGTTAGATAACCGATATTCATCAAATCTTTTGAAGCTTCACTGCATCGGCCATAGTCCTGCATCAAAGAAGTTTCCTTTTCCATTTTATACGGCAGGGCAGATAAGCGTGCATGCTAGTACTGATTCCCCTTCTCACTTTTCCACTCCTTTTTCTTATACTTCAGTAGGACCCCATTACAAACCTTAGTTGACATTAGCTACAGTACCGCTGAACATTGTCATCCACAGCTATTTTTCCACATTACGCACTGGATTACTATCGTCATCAGACTCTTAGCAAGCCATTGCCCTGTTTCTCTCACGATTTTCAACTCTCCCGTTTAACAACACTGCGACGTGGCGGATGTGACTCGCCACTAAATAAAGTCACTGCCTCCTGCCCCCCCCCCTGAGAGACATTGTACTTTAAGGGTGCGTTGGGCCCTTGGTCCTTCACGGACCGAAAGGCGTATGAACCATCTATTTGGTCACCGGCTCCCAACGGGTTGCGACGCCCTCACATCGCCCTGCTGCCTTGTATGTTAGATCTTTGATCAAAGGCTCGGGGTAGGGCCCCCTAAGACAACTCTCTACTTCGGCCTGAGCAACCGGGTAGTATCACGCCCACTGACGAATCATGGACTACACCACCCACTACTGCTACTGCTATGCCTCTCTTCTGTCCTAACTCAACCGCTCAACCTCCACTCACAGACCACCCCACCTCCCGTCCTTCACCTACATGTACTCTTATGTCTTCTACGGTCACCGTCACAAACGACCCACGTCTCGCAGCTGATGTAAGTAACAGCCAAACTCCCGGTTTTCAATGTCCTGCGATCGCAACCGCCTCTCACTCCACCGAAGCTCCAGCTCTTCTTTGACCTGGTTCTCCACTCATCCTCGCAGCGTTTAATGTTCGAACTTTGATGCAGATCGGACGACAAGCATGTCTGGCCCGTACTCTTGAAACGCTTTCGGTAGACATCTGTTGTCTTTCAGAGACCAGATTACAAGACTCTAGCGCCGTCATCAGAATGGCCTCTCCGGTAAACTCTGACGTCAAATACTACTTGCGGCTTTCCGGAGACCCAGAATCTGCCGCCACTGGTCAAGCTGGTGTTGGGGTTGTATTAAGTGCCAGGGCTGAATCGGCTCTGCTTGACTGTATCCCAGTCAACAGTCGACTATGTGCAGTCAGACTATGATGTTCATGTAACGTAAGCAGGCGTCGAGATGTTAAGCGTGCCTTGTTTGTCGTCTCCGTCTACGCCCCTACAGACTGCAGCCCGGATGCAGTTGAAGATAGCTTTTACCAACAACTATATGAACTTCTGCGTTCCTCCAAAAGGACGGATATAGTCATTCTTGCCGGGGACTTTAACACACGGGTTGGCCGCCTTCTACCAAGCGAGCACCACATTGCGGGTAGTTTTGGTCTCGGTGGCAGTCGATCAGACAATGGAGACAGATTGCTTGCTCTTTGCTCTGATCATTGCTTGTTTCTTTCGAGCACTGATTTTCGACACTCGAGGAAACACACTGCTACCTGGCGCCTGCCCTGTCGAACGCAAGAGTGCTCCCAGCTTGACCACATGGCAATCAGCTACAAATGGTGCGGAAGCGTAACGGACTGCCGATCGTACTGGTCAACTTATATAGTCTCCGATCACGCATTGGTTCGTGCTAAGATTTGCATGCGTTTCGGAGGATCACCTAAGCGCGCCCACTACTAATCTACAAAACGCTGCGATTTTAACCAGGTACCAAGCCTCACTGTCAACTTTGCTTGACTCAACTATTGACCGTGATCTTGATTCGCAGTGGGCGCATATCAAAGATGCTTTAGTTTCCGCCAGTATCGGCACTTGTGGAGTTACCCGTCACCCACCGAAACATTGGATTTCCGCCGACTCCTTGTCGCTGATGGACAGACGCCGCTTGATCCCATCGAATTCCAGACACAGTGAGGAACGCCAATACCTTAGTCGAGAGTTGCGCAGGAGTCTGCAAATGGACAGCGAAGCTTGGTGGTGTGAACCTGTTAGGGAGATGGAGCTTGCTAGTCTCTGTGGTAATACCAGGAAACTCTTCCATCTCATTCGAGTCACCGAAGATGTTCGATCTGGTATAAGTGAAACAATATGCGAAGAGGATGGCACCTTAATCACCAATCTTCAACGACGGTTGGAGCGATGGGCCGAACATTTTGGCTCGCAGTTTTGTTGGCCCCCAGCTCCATCTGCTACCTCTGGCGCTGGCGCTGGGGGCGAGTGGTCTACCCCCACAGATCCTTATTCTTACCACGAACTCGAGTATGAGCTCCGGCACATGAAGCGTTATAAAGCTCCCGGCCCTGATGGTCTTCACCCAGCTCTATTCAAAGATGGTGGCGCATCGCTGGTCCGAGAACTCACCGCTTTGTTCTCGAAAATTTGGTCGTAAGAGAAAGTTCCATCATCTTGGGGTGAATCGATAGTCGTACCCATCTTCAAAAAGGGCCTGCACACAATCTGCTCCAACTACAGAGGAATAAGTTTAGTCCCCGTCGTTTGCAAGCTGCTGGTGTCCATCATACTTCGCAGGCTATCCCCGACACGCGAATCGTTGCAACGAGAAGAACAAGCTGGGTTTCGCCCTGGTCGCGGCTGCATCGATCAAATCTTCACACTTCGCCAGATCCTCGAGCTCCGCCATGTGTATCAGAGGCCAACGATTGCTGTGTTCCTGGATATCCGTGCAGCCTTCGATTCTGTCGATCGTACAGTACTGTGGCATTGCCTTCTGAGGAATGGTGTCCCCGAGAAGTTCGTCTCCATACTGAGCGCTCTATATAGTCTGACCTCGGGCAGGGTTAGGGCTTATGGCATGCTTTCGCCTACCTTTGTGGTCTCCAGTGGAGTTCGACAAGGATGCCCTATCTCTCCGTTCCTATTCAATTTTGCCATTGAAGATGTCCTGAAGAACACTGTGAGCGATTCGTTGAACGCTGGCGTTGAGCTCCTCCCAGGTAGTCGAGTTGTTGATTTGGATTATGCTGATGATATCGTCTTGCTGGGTGACGATCCACAGGTCGTCCAACTTGCATTAAACCGCTTGGCGATTGAAGCATCAAAGTACGGTATGTACTTTTCGCCATCCAAATGCAAGGCTCTCCTTCAAGACTGGCAGGTGCCTGTACCTGCACTCACTCTTGGTGGTGAGACACTAGAGGTTGTGGAGAGCTTTGTCTACTCGGGAAGTTGCATCACTGCAGGCGGCGCTGTTGGGGACGAGATTTCGATGCGCATCTCGAGAGCAGGCCTCGCTTTTTTTAGGCTGAGGCATTTGTGGCGTCGCCACGACATTTGTCTCTCCATCAAAGGGCGGGTCTATTGCGCAATTGTTCGTGCTGTACTGTTGTGCGGATGCGAGACCTGGCCCATTCGTAAAGATGACTTGCGCAGGCTATCCGTCTTCGAGCACCGCTGTCTGCGGTCCATTGCCTGTGTGTGGTGGCAGCACAACGTAAGCAGTTTGGAAGTTAGCGTGTCTTGGGACGTGGAAGCCACTCACTCGAGGAGCTCATCTCACTGCATCAACTGCGGTGGTTGGGACACGTATTGCGCATGTCTGTCCCGCGTTACCCCCGTCGTGCGTTGTTTGCACTTGCTGGACAGGGCTGGAAGAGACGGTCTGGTGGACAGCCTACAACATGGCGAAGCTGTATGAAAAAGTTGACGAAACAATTGGCCTCGGCCGGTTGTTGTCGACTACCTGGTTGGGGTCCGAGAGATGAGGATACTTGCTGGTTAAAGACCTTGGAAGTTATGGCTCAAGATCGGTGTCAATGGCGGACGTGTGCATCGGTTTGTTGCGGTGTCCCTTCTTCCTCCCCCTAAAAAAAAGAACAAATTACAAAAAAATTTCAAAAACTGTGAGTGGTAAAACGGACAAAAAAAGCATTTGTTGTTGCTCTTTTCTTATTATTCATATTGTTTTCCTATTCAGCCATGATTCCGATGGCACAATATCTGTACCACAGATTGTGTATTGTATATATATATATATATATATATATATATATATATATATATATATATATATATATATATATAAA